ACCTCCGGGTCCGAAGCTGCCGTGTTAGCGTAGTAGTACCAAAAAAGCGGATTCGGCAAATGCTTGCTGTAAGTGTACGCGCCTCCGAGACCCATTGTTTTCACAACCGGCCGTTAAAGTAAGTCCTGATCAATGAACTTTCAACCGTCACTGCTTATACCCTCCAATTTTTTCCTCTCATCCATTTCACAAGGTAAGAGGGATGAGTGTCTAGTCTTGTTGCTAATGCAAATCAGCATGTATGGGGACACCTGGAATTGAATTTGGTCGTTCACTACTGAAGTAGATGTAGTGGTCTTCATGAGTGGTTCAAAACGCGAGAGGTGCACCTTTAGATCCCCAAGCATTATACAGAGGGAAGAGAGAGCGCTAGGCCACAGCCTTGACGATTTCACTTCCTTGGACTCATTTAAGTAGTACATGAAAGGCCCCAGGAAGAATGTTTTAATCAGTACTGCCTTTGCACATTCGCTGTTCCCTTGGCCTGGAATGGTAAGGTGGAGCCTCTTCCAAAATGTATTACGAACGCTTAGGCCAAACTTAATAAGATCCTCAGGATCCACAGTTAGAGTCCATGCAGGAACGGTAGTATCTGCCTCCCTAGGTTTATACTAGCCTTGTTACAGTTGGGACTATCAGCCTTAGAGGGATCCATTAACTGTGCCATTTGTAGGATGAAAAGAAAATAGTTTCGCATTTAAACAACTATTAAGGAAGGGATACATCGTCCAATAAATCGTATATGGGAAGGAACAAATTGGCAAGGTTACACACGCACATAATTTAAAGTGTGGTGCTGGTATGGAACTATCAGTGCTGCTAGTCAAAATCTACTTTTCCAGCTTGAAAATTTTGCCTCTTCTTTCAGTGGCATTGCCATCTACGTCTGAGAGACGGAATTCCGAGAGGCTTGTTTCTCGTCACAATCACCTTCATGCGTTCGAGAAAATTTGGGGTTCCGTATTTTGCCTTCTTTTCAGAAGGCTCCTTGCTTACGATCTGCATTATGTCCTGCTGATTAGCAAAACACATTTGAGTTTCCTCCATAAGAGCAACCTTGCCATTTAAAAGGTTCTCGTAGACGAAGGCTGTTGACTCCTAATTTCCTATTTCAAGGAAGGATGTTATCAGCGTACAATATAATGGTTTGCCCGGATTGGTCGGGCCATAGAGGATCAAAGCAGTAATCGTTTCATAAATGATCATAGATTTAGAGCAAAATCAGCAAGGGCAATCGCATTTGCAGAAAAACTTCTTCAAGCCATCGTTGATGTTAGGGTCGGCTTACTCCATTATGATGTCTTGGATAGGCACACAGGTGCGAGGGAGAACCCTTTACCGTGTTTACAGCTCCTCTTGTGGTAAATCCTTGTAATTCTGAAGTGCCATCACATTGAATTTCTCCTCCCCCATGAATTTGTTCGCGATATCATTCTTGGATCGTACCTTTCTCGCAATTTTTTTGCGCTAAGTCCGCTACGCGACGATGATTTCCACTATGAATTGTTGAACAGTCTGGCCAATCAAGAGATGTAGTGGTCAGCTAAAAGAAGCTGTCAACATGATGTCAATCACAATCGACCACATCAATGCCAAGTTACGGATCTATTGAAGTCGTTCCATCTCTAGATGCCCATACATTACTTATTCCGCTGAAACAGTATCAACTTGACAACCCTTCAGTAGATAAATGTGGGAAGTCACGCGCGAGAAGGTGGTTTGGAAGGACGCATGTCACTACTAACAAACATCAAAAAAATTGTATAAGTTGTGTGTGGGGTGGATTTTATGTAGATCGCTTTGCATACCATCGTCGTTCGTGGTTACGGGGCTATGACAAACTGACATTATTGCCTGCAGTCATCCGAAGCTACTGATCCATGTCCTTATAAATGGAGTCGTTATCGAGATGTGATGATTTTGCACACGTGTCACATATCTAGACGCCATATACATTGAGAGAGTAAATGGAATAACACTGGACAAATGATGAGGATGGGAAGAGTCCCATCATATAGGTATTTTGCCAGATATTTGCAGGATTCTGCAAGTAGAAGTAGCCATCTTCGCCCAAAGTGGCAGATTTTCAACGATGTACAAGGTGGGGAATTTATCTCCCTAAGCTTCATACCAGAAGGTGGCTCTCGGTGGTCATTCACACTTCCCCACTGACACACCTCGTCGGCTGTATAAGGGTGTCAAAAAAATACCAAAACAAAATACGGACCCACACGATATATAAGTGTGATAGATGATGCCTTTAGTCAAATTCTTTCAAACAGTACTGCTAGGGGAGGGCCGCCACCTCATTTCAAATGGTTGGAATTTCGTCATGCCCACGACACCGCATGGTTACGTAGTTTTCGCCATGCTTGGGGCTGCATCTTGATGACAATGAAGCATAATTGGCTGGAAGAGTAAACAAAATTTTGTTGAATAGTTAACTAATTATCGTCAAGAACGTAGCGCCAGAATAGGCCAGCATAACAGAAGACAAAATGTTGCTTTGGTTAGCAGGAGGAAATGAGCCTAAAGTCCATAGAAAAGTTTGGTGTTAACTGGACACTAATAGTAGGTACAATTTAAATGAACTTTTAATATACGCGCATTGCAATGTGCTTTGCCACTGTTTCATTCTCCTTACTTGGCATTTGTGTAGGCCAATTTATACTTTCATGCTTTGGTAAGGGAGAAAAGAAAGGAAATAAATTACAGTAAAGAGCTGAGTTATCAATATGACTTAGTGGGATTAACTGCCAAAAGGTCTGCAAATGATTTGAACTGATTAGATAACACATACAACGAAGACCTTCATCAGTTCCAGAAAGGATTCCCCAAGATGTAGTGTCAAACATACTGACTGGGGTGTAGTGGCGCGGTTCATTAAATGACACATGACGGTAACTAGTTTAATTTTTTGTGGGATTTCTGTAGAAATGCGTCGTGGCATTGAAATTTCTTCTTAGTCCATCATTCTCATTAGCTCATCAGACAGCGTAAATGTTTTGCCTTTGGGAATGATAGTGTACTTCAGTGCGTTCCAAACCTGATATGACGATTAAAGCGTCCGAAGAGGCTAATTGGAGTCACCTTCCGTGATTTTAAGCTGTAGGTAGGGAATTCCGCAAATAGAGGCTTTTCAGAAACTATAGCGCACTCAGTGTGGTAACAATGACGGGTGGATACTCTTTCCTCTACCTTAACGGCCTTCTGACCTTTTCGAAAGGAAAGTTTATCTTTTGCGGGACCGAAGTGGTCGGAGTCAACCGTCATTCAACTATGGTGGAAGAAAATATGCTCGTATCAGCAGTCACAGCTACATTCCACGTAGCACTCGAATTTGCCAGTCAATCTTACCAAGGAATGTCAAATCTATAGAGGTCGAGAAGCCCAAGTGAAGTTGCAGTATCTTTCTTGTTTTCAAGACACCTTTCTGATATCCCCTCCATTCTTACTAAGGATGGAGAAATTTAGAGGTTCATATAAAAATTCGTGTGCGTTGGTGACTAGTGATTGAGAAAACAAACCGGGCGCCTTAGAAACTTGTTAAAACAAGATTCTCATCCATATCTGATTGCAACAGCTGTTGCTGGTAGTCATGTAGTATTATGGGGCAAAGTAAGGTGTGCAGACTCATTAGACCTACAGCTACACGGAAAGTTTGTGTTAGAATCCTCTTCCATATATCCATCCTGCAAAGGAAAAACAAAGCATGTTTTGAGTTTTGTGGGTTTTCCTCCTAAAGGGCTACTTTTACTCGTTCCCCTATGTACTCTGGTTGGTTACAAAGGAGGATATAGTGGGTTGCATTCAGCATTGTCTGGAGTGGCAGGAACTCTAGGATTTTGTTTACTCTGCGACTCGATCTAACTGGAAGGCTCAGAACACTTAAAGGTCCTTCGACATTGCAATCGGATGAAGACTATTTGCTTATCCTACTGTTGAGGGATGCAGGGATCATGTTAGGGTAGAGTAGGGGTAAAAACGATTTGGAAATTGAATATGGCCTTCTCTTCTCCAACGGAACGCCCTCAAGTTAATTCGAGGTGCAGTCGTCCATGGCGCTCTAAACGGATACTGATGCTTGCAGGGAAAGTTATTCAGATTGAAGAACACTAAATTCTGCCATCTTCTGAGGCAGCAAGTGCACTCGCAATGTAGTCGGCATTATAAAACAAACAAATTGGAAACTTAAAACTCTGACAACATCACCAAAGCCAAGCAACGAAATACCACCTTGCTTACAAAAGGCAACCATCCACGTATTTGTTCGTCCAGAGTTGAAGTGAAGAGATCGAAGGGACAAAACATGGGTAGTAACTCCGTGATGAAGTTGAATGCGATAGGTCCGTGAACATGACTTCTACAAAAGAGGGAAAAGCCAAAACCTCAATATGACCAGGTGATCCGTTCTATCCATCCATGTACTGTGGAGGGTGTGAGCCAACTGCCATTAAGGAAAGGGGATTAGCCAGCTCGAAGTTTTAGTGATGGCCGATTCTCAAGCCTGAAATTCAAATTAAAGAGCCTTTTGTCGTATAAAGCTAGAAAAAGTACTGAGACAAAAAATAGGCCTAACTAATGTTATTGTGCCAATGACTGATCAAATCAGCTGCGGATTTTGCCCACTTACTCATCAAATCCATCCCGATTGACTATTAAAAACAGACTGATTGATGGACAATCAGCAACAAATGAAAAAGACGAGATGACAATCAGTAATGCGTAGGTACCTCCATTTTCCTGAGACGAAAATGCACGGCCAAAGTCGATTGTCCAAGAATTGAATTATCCGGAAAACGAGATTGTTGTTTGCTTCATTTGCCCTGTCTTCAAACAACGAAATGTCTTGTTTTTAGGTGAACCGCGGGAGAAGTAGATGTTTTAAGACAATAGAGCTCCCGTTCCTCGGTCTTTGACTTTAAAATTTCATAATTAAAGCTAGAACATTTAACCCTCATGATACAGTCCCCCTTCTGTCCAAAGCAGAAGCCAGCTCGTCATCGATCATCGAAATCCCAGAAAATGGGTGTTGGAGGCGCGTTCTTCGCCCACTGGAAAATAGCCTCCTCCCATCTTCGCTTGGGGAGCTGCCACTACTACATGGTAAAAACGCAAATTTTAATGCAGCATAGTTCTAGACAGCCTAAATCTCTACAGAGACTGATGAAAACACATTACCCTTCAAAGCAGAAAAAAAGACGTTTAAAATCTAGGGACCGAAAATGCTAAAGATATGAATAGTCACAATTGTCCATTCCTGAAGATCTAGATCATTTTACTTCCTATTGTTTACAAACGGTAATGATACAAAGCTGTGACAAAGTTCAAAATGGAAATATGCTTTTGAATTTTATTTTGTGAAGTAAATTGCAAAAAATTTAGCGTCTAAACGCATAATTTTAATGAAATCTTTAATAGGCTCTGTGTTTCTCCCTTCCACCTCAGCCTTCATACCTCTGAAATGAGCGGACGGGTGGAGGAGGACATACCTCGTGGGGCAGCGATAAATAAAGAGGTGCAGATATCATGAATTCAGGTTGCAGTGCCTCCTCTTCGTAGGTTGGTGGCATCCGATCTCTCATGAGGTTTATACTTACCAATCACCTTTCGCCTAAAAGGTATTTTCAAACAAACTTATATTTCGTAAGCATGAGATTGTGGTGAGTGGATAATTCTTTGGCTGCTTGGTAAATTATGCGAAATTCTTCCGCCTATCGACATGGATATCTAGTTGTGCCTCTAGCCGTCCAGCCCTTCCTTGCTTAAATGCAAACCTGGCGTTTAAGGCCATGTCTTACTAAGCTGTCTGGGAGAAGACCACTTCCAGTGGGAGATTAATTTAACTTCTTTTACTGTAATATCGCTAGCTGTAGACCTACACATTAACTGTCTCAGCCTATAAAGTGACTATCCATTGTGCATTGCGAGCAGGTAGTGACAACAGCACCACCGGCAGTGGCTTACAACTCTTCACCCCTTCGTGCCTCTGTAGGCAGAGGAAGGTTCGACGCAGCATCATAAATAGGCATCCAGAGTACTGTAATGCAGATGTTATAGTTTGAAGAGAAAGCATCCAAAATTCCGGATAGCAATTGAGTTTTTTACTTGCGGTTCTAGTGGGCGCACCACAGACAGCGACTAGCCGCCAAACAGGTCAACAGGCCCATCAGACAGGGAACCAAGAGGTATAGCATAGTGCAGGCCTTCATAGGGCAGTATTCTAGTCACCGTGAGACCTCGGTAAAAAATTAGTTGTGTGAAATTTACAAAAGACCAACAAAAGTCACGAGGTTGGAGAAGAGAGGATGTAAATCTGCAGTAAATATGTGCAGTAAAGTGACAGTTGCCCAGAGGTAAACAAACCAAACTGTGCAGGCACTTTAGCGTCTGTGGATTGAACTCCGTCCTATCGACATGGCCACAGACCCCACTGGACCCTCGCCACGTGGTTAATTAACCACTCATCCTTACTTGGGTGTCTTATTACCACTTCAGGAGGACTCAGGACTTTATCTACAGAGCATTTGACAAATAACTTGGTTATCGCTGGGGATTTTACTCTCGAAACACTGACAAAATTAACGTAAAATGAAGGCGATTCTCACTCGAGGGCCTCTTTACTGCCACCGATTGTTTAGTTAATGACCACTTTCTTTCAATGTTCTCTTGTTGGGCCTCAATTTGACTTCTTCCATGAACACATCTGAGCAAAAGCATGGCAATTTTTAACGCGCGGTGTTTAAATAAACTCAAGGAATTACAAGGAAGAACCAATATTCCAGTTTAAACACAGCCAAGTGCGAATTACTAAGTTCTTTTACTCTGGACGGTCTTGTTGACGACTGCAACAGTTGGTGTAAGGTCACATGTGATAAGGAAAGCCAAGAAGCGTGTGGAAACTCTTGGCGTCATGAGGTGGATGGATAGCTTCCATACTCCAAATTATGTCAATATCTGTTCATCTAACAGTGAAGGTGAAGCACTATGAGTGTTCCTCGAAGCCGAAAGAATTTGTAATCCGGAAAAGGTTTCGCTGTGATACGGAACGGGCTGGGAGAGAGGGCTGCTAGGATGGCTGGAAGGGTGTACCGCTTAGGAAAGGCACCATGGCGGAGCCCTGAGTCCCCACGCAACCAAAACGAAGAGTTAAACAAGCAAGTAATGTATTACGGTGGAATAAATTGCACATATTATACCATGCATCAGTGTAAGGGCTTTTAAAGACAAAGGAATCATTATTCAACTTGAGTCAAGAAATAAGATAGCCGAATCAAGTTTACTATTATTTAAAGCTTGTACATCATCTATGCTGATGGCGCCTGGCATCGAATTATTTGATAGGCGCTTTGTATGGATGGGAAAATTAATCGTACTCAGTCAGCGGTTCAAGAGTGGAGGTGAAATGCGGAGACGGGTGTTTGCTTTGGCACTGAAAGGGCCTATGTCTGCTAAATTCACATAATTGTGATATTAAGCCACCTCCCACTGGTGTCATTACATAGCCAACTCAAAGGTGCCTTGTCCGATAGGTGACAATGTGCCAAGCATTCTCAAGTTGATTCCAAAAGGATCAGACAGTGAACTTTGGATTGACGACACCCTGTAAGGATGAGTGTTAAGCCAAGATGGTGTTAAATTGGGCATCAGACTCTATTTCGCACGATTCGCTCATCTGACGCCCTTTTACCTGCTGAGATGCCTCCGACCTTTAACCTGTTTTACAGTCAAATCGCAGTCTTGTGCAGTCACAGCATGTGCCAAAAACGCATAACTCATTGTGAAACCAAGGAATAAGAATTCCAATTCGAAGGGTATCTTTGGTGATTTGCAACTGCAAAAGCAAATGGGCTTGAACCCCATTTCCCTTTTGAATTTACTGAGTTTGTGTTTGAAGTGGTATTCACTCTTACACCCCCGAGTTGGTATAAGAAAGGCCAGTACCCTCGGGAACCGCGCAGTCTAAAGTATTGTTATGCCAGTACAGTAATAGGCACCCAAAGGTGGCAAAATCGTTTCTTTAAAACTTACCTCAAATATGAACAGACGGATATAGTTGAGTGGAAGAATCACTCTTCTGTCGCTAGCATGGACAAATGCCCTATTATCCTAAGTCTGTGGCCTCTTTTAAAAACCTCAGTTGACTGACTAGTTTAACTTTAATTACTTATGGGATCGTGATATTTGCTGCATTCCACCTAGGCTTTATCTTGTCTTCAGGTACCAGTGGGGAGTGGCTTGCTGCACTACGATAATCCGATGAATTATCTTTAAAGCTGACTAAAATGGTGGTCCATGACGGCATCTTAATATCCCTGATTTGAGGCATCAAGTTTCGATTTTGTCCATTCTGCGTTTTTTAATCTAAAAATCTCCTTCAATTTTATTTTATTTTTGTTGAGTAGCACCACCTTAATGCATTCATCCACTCTAGGTTCAGTCGTCTCCATGATTAAGGTTTTGACGTGTTCAACGTTTTATTGAGCCAAATGCAGGTCTTTCGGTAACCAAACCTAAGGGGGGAGTCCAGCTGTCTCATTGTTGATCAAATTCAACTGTGAGGAAACATTTAACTCCTATCCTCCGCAGGTTACTCACGTCAGCACTAAAAAATTGCATCTGAGGCTTATAAATGCCTCAATGTGAAAGGATGCAGAGCTTTTAATGAATTAGAGTGTTGCCCGTGTAAAAGGTTGCACGCCATTTAGGATAGCTGCCGGCCCTAAGGCGATGCCAAGCATACAATTGAACATTCTGGAACAATTGGTTTTTGATATCAAAATCGGCTTGTAAAAGGCATTTTAGTTCAGAGTTGGTAGTCAGATTTGGAGAGTAGGAAGGATGAGGAAGGCAGGCAGCTTGTCGATTCCAGCCGGTAATATGATGATAAAGGCCAGTTTTACATCTCAGTTGTTGATTTTTACGCTCTAATCAAGTCTGACTAATTAAAATTACAGAGAGAATATTTAGCTAGTATAATTCATTTTTTGATACATGAACAAAGGCGATAAGTAATTTGTATAAACAATCAGTTTTCAACAAACTTTAGTTTATAGGAGGGAAGTAAAGCAAGCAACCTACTCCTCATTGAGTTAATGCTCCAAGAAATGTGTCTCCCAGCATTGGACGAGCGTTCCTGTGCCGGTTTAAAAGGAAGGAAGCTAGTAAACTGTCTACTTTCAAATGATCTATGAATGGTTCAGTGATTATAAAATGGGCACAGCAAGTTAAACTAATTGTCCTGCATTTATTTTATAGGAGTCCCTGATAGGCTTGTCAAAAGATGATTTTGGGAGCTCATGTTGCCTCATACACTTCACTTTTGTACAATTAATTAAGTAAACTGCTTTTAAAATGATATAATGGTCTAATCCACCAGCCTTATCTTAATTCAAAACCATGGCCAAAGATATGGTTGTGTAGACAAATAGAAAAAAATGTAATTGGTTTCGATTACAAAATGTCATTACACATCTGTGTTGAACGCACACCTCAAAAATCCTCCTTTGCTCCGATTTCTTTGCTATTTTTAAGAAAATTCTTTAGCTTAAATCCATAGGGCTTTGCTTTAAAATGTAGATACAATGTACCAGTAGTAACCAAACCCTCCATCTGTCGAGCTTTCCATTCGCTCCCGATAGGTAAGCATAGCTATCCTAATCATGAATGTGGAAAACCGGAGCAATTCAGCTTCAACAGTGTTGGTGTTTTTGAACAATACATGATTTGTACAACTAATTACTCTCTAATTATCTCTACTTTGCCTCTTCTGCAAGCCACGGAATATGTCGTATTGCCAAAGTAACCTCCACAAAGTAAAACTTGTAAACCATAATTACTTAGACTTGGGTGATGCAGCTAATTATTTTTAATAAGTGTTTTCAAGAAGATTTTATCCTATAGCATATAAAACATTAGCAAGAAATGACAATCTTAAAAGTAAAAAAAATACTTACAGATCTCTAATGGATTTACAATTTCCCCTGGTCCTTTGTACTTGCAACTTTCTATGTAAAATTTAGACTTAAATTCCTTAGAGTTGCAAGATGCTACCAAAAGTCTGAAGAGCGTTTTTAACGAGCCTTTGTCATAGTGCAAGTTCATAATAGAGTAAGGTATTCACTTTTATTATTGAGGCCTTGAGTGCTCAGAAGATGTGACGGGAAAGAATTAACCCATTTACAACCTCCTCCCCATATTGATTTGAGATTTTGCATATGCACTCATAGAATGCTAATTTTAAGCCTTAGCAAAACAGTTTTATCGTTTTGGTGTAGTATTTATCATTAACCATCCAATTTGTACTGTTCAAGGCGCCTTCTTTTAGATTTTCCTTTTCTGACATGAAACTAGATACATAGTGGAAGATTGGGAACTTATTAAGTGAACGTGGTACATTTAATTACCTTGCTGCCACTTCTTTAGCAGAAGTCTTTGTCATACCTCTTTGCAAAATGTTACGTACCACATAAAGCTGTGTACAAAGTGTAAGTTAATAACAGCTTTTGTGTAATTATCTTACGCATAACTGGTGCAATTTCTCCATAGGACGACAAAACAACAAACCTACTCTCCTACAAAATAAATCAAGTTTAGACAAATTTAGCAAAAGTAATACATAATGAGATTGATGAGTTTGGAGGCAAATTACATTTATTTTGGAAGAAGTTAGCAATTGCGTTACATCAACAGCCACCTTCGATCACGAACGGCAATTTACGCTAAGTCCCCTAATTTAAATGTTAAACAAACCAGTCCCTGGAGATCGCTGTGGCAAGTCGGTCGCTTTTAATGGCAAAGATGTTATAATTTACTCCATTATACACTAACGTGTTATGCAAAATACAGGCTAGTGTTTAAAAGTATTTACGTGGCTTGCACTAGGTACAATTTCTTATAAGTACTCTGGGCCTAAAAAACCCTGCTACATTTTCACAAAACAATCCCTTCACGAAACATTTTAAAAGCGTTCCTAATCAGTAAGGTCTGTAATAGAGGCACGGATGACCACTTTGATCGATTAAAACAAAAGAGTGGCACTTAGATGGATAATTTGTTTTAACTCCTTAAAAACTTTTTAGCAAATACATTTTGCTAAAAAACGATTGTTGGTTTGTTTAGACTAAAACTTTAACATTGAGGCAAATATTACATTACCTAAGGTCTGCCACACCCATTTGCCTTTATTAGTTCAAAATAATTTGCCTTTTTGACATTAAAAATTTGTTAAAAAAACAGCAAAAAAGTTTTGGTTTGGCTAAACTAAGGTGCATGGCACTTAGTAGAGCTCAACCAAAAAGTTATTGCAAATAAGAAAGGCTCTAAAGCGTTGTCGTTCTTTTACCCAGCTGCGTCAGAGTATCATTAGCAGTCCTTATTATGTTGTCAATTGCATTCATCAAAGTAAGTGCACTGGCGAAACCTAAAACAGCCTTATGGGGATAATGTTACCTGCTGATTACTCCTTGCCACTTTGTTCTTATTTCAGTGCTCTTCAGTCGTATCTGTCTAAATTCTATTTAGCTGGTGGGAAGATGGAGTACGTCGTTATATGCATACCGTACACAACCCATTACCCAACCTTTTAAATTGTTTGCAAGTGGTGTCACTTTAGTTTTTAATGGCTTTCCTGCAGATCACGGAGGTAGACGTTATTTCCAACCCTTCTCTAAGAAATCTTCATATTCTTTATTGCGCCTTCTTTGCCATATTAGGGTCTAACATCCAGGAGTAGAAATCAGAGCATTTGTCCTTTACAATGGGCTTTGATTGCTGCTGCCATTAATGCAGCCCCAAGTTATGAGCCGTTATAATAGTGGGGCTGAAGATGTATTGCTGTGCACCCTTCCTCCATATTTTTATCAATTACTGCTCACTACCTTTTCTTGACATGTGCTTGTGACATTTATGCTAGTGTGCATGAAATAAAGTAAACGTCTGTATGGTAGAAGCAAGGGTCCTTCCTTCTTGCCCAAAAATGGGGCTCGAACTTAAGCTCGATCTTTTTGGCAAAAGATTATGGAGCGTAACGGCGATTATTCCACTAGGTTAAAGAATTCTAAGAACCTTTTAACAGTTGGCGGTTAATTGGCATTACAAAAACCTCACTAACTTATTTGAGCAACTCATGAATTTCCCTAACATACTGGGACATCTTGGTTGTTTGCGTAAGTCGGTATTTTGCCTATCCAGGCCCTTAATGCTCCGCCTTTGTACCCTTGTCAGGGGAAATTGCGTCCAGTCTGTGTAGTCACCTCCCGGTCCTTCTATACGTCTACAACGCATATTCTACCACAGTAGTGCTATTTTTCTCATCTTCAGGAAAGGCTCAGACCCTGCAATGATGGCAGCAACAAGCAAATTTGATCCTAATTGACAAATATTCCAAGTTCTACTCCTAAATGCTAAACTTCAGCGCAAAGGATTAGGTGTATATGCTGCGGATGGTGGAGTCGATGACGGTCCCTAACAGAAGGGTTAGTAATAAGATCCACTCTCGGCAACTACGCTAGTCCGCGCGATGCCGGAATGCTATTAACAGTCGAAGCGACACTAATCGGAAACCATCTGGATAAGTTCGCTACGGAGTCGCCTACAATACTTGTACGAAGATGTCAATCAAGTGAATACGTGATATCTCCTCCATCTTTTTACCAGCTGGATAGAACCCAGATAGGTTTGGCTGGACAGCACTGAACTAAGGATAAAGCTGCAAGGAGGAAAGGGTACGAAACCCTACCCTGCGAAACTATATTAAGCCTAGTTTTTTGTTGCATGGCTGTGCATTTAGGCGGTAGTCTTACGGCTTGTGATGGACATACAGGGTGACCAGCACATTCGCCCTTCCCCCAATACGGTGTCCAAGCAGGACTAAACTTCAGCTCCAGTGGTATTGCTAAGGAGGATTAGGACGTTACGATCAAATATCGTCCCAGTTGCACGCAAATTCGATGACTGGTGTGGTTAGTTCTCACAGCTTTGACTACGTTGTGATGGCCGACGCGGGAAGTTGACCCAGTAGAGCGCCGAAGGCGACAATCAAAAGGGAGAGGTCTGTCATACTTAAATTGTTTGTTTAACTCTGCCTTTGTACTTTCTTGGTCTATGGGTCATACCGGTAGTCCCCCAGTCCTTCAGTACTTCGGTAGTGCATATCCCATCCTAGTATTATGACTTATTTCGACTTGAGGAAAGATTTGGGACGCTATGATACAAGTTGTTAGTTCAGAAAACGGAAACGCACTCACAAATGTGTCACCTAGATAAGTGGCCCCAGTTCCTTCATGGGAAAGTCTATTAAAATATCAAACCATATTATATCCTACTATCTTCCAGTTTTCACCAAATGGACGAATGAGATTTCGACCTAGCCTCGTGCTTTGAGGACACTTCACCTTGAGGTCACGTCTCTTCATTGGTGTACGGGCTGATCTGCTAATGACTGATCGGCGATCGACAAACACAACCGAGTTCAAGCATTTGACCAAAAAGAAACGAAGGAGATGAAGCGGTGTCTCTGTAGGAGTTGCGAGAGTTCCCTGGAAACACATTTTAGCTCTCTTCGTATTGGTACGCCGTCTAACTAAATTTTTTGGGGGCTTCTTATCTATTAAGTGCCCACTGATTTTTGTTAATCCCTTAAGCTTGCTTAATGGGTCGCCTTATTTTTTTTGCATTTAGATGCCTCGAGCAGTGAGGAGTCTAATGAATGTGTGGCTCAACGGGGTGAGGAAATGGCCTGCGATTTGCTTTCGCCTATGCATCAAGCTACGAACTCACCGCCTAATTCGCTCATAGACGAAAGCAATGAGCATAACGACACCGGCTTTCGTAGGTTTCTTTCAAGCCTCTCTCTGTGTGTGTTACATTCCCATAGTAATCAAAGATGTTCATTTCAGCGGAGGATTTTAAGAGTTACCTCTCCGAGGTGTCCGGAGAGTTGGAACAATCAAAAACCCCGGATCTCATGCCAGAGATGCCAACTGCAAGTTCTGACCACAAACCTGTGAAGGAAGACTACTGGTTTCGTGCAACTAGTCAATCTGACCATGTTGACTGTTGTGACGAGGACAGTATGTTCTCCGATGAGACTTGTCCTTGTGGACGGAGCACCACTTCCACACAAACGGTGAGTTTAAGACACGCCATTTTTAAGGTGGCTGCCTTAAATCCTGTCTGAATGGTTACTTTTTAAAGTAACGGCGTTCACCATTGGTTGTGAAATTAGGCCTATTCGCATATTCCCTTTATGGAATATTCTAGCCCTACAAAACGGAGAATCTCTGTTCTACCCCTCAACTGCTTACTGTTCACCACATAATCACATGCCGAATGCAAATAACGAGGAAAAACATGGAGGAGGAGAGAGCAGGATTTAGGGTGGGAATGAGGTCTTGAGTTATATCGTCCGGTAGGAACTTTCTTCCCACTGATTTGCCAGTCTCAGCTATTTCATAAAGGGACTTACTTTTATGCGTCGAATTTTTGGCGTCCCAATAAGGTGGAACTCGGCAGCAAGTCCTTTGCAGAATACCCTCATCAGGGACTAATGAGTGCATCTGCACCTACACAAGGCGAGCACAGTCCGGTGGTCATGAGGTAGTAGACGGACACTTCAGAAGTAAGAAGCAAGAGGTGGCGACATCCAGTGCCATGCTTTGGTTCTCTTCTTGTATCAGTAGATTGGTGAATGGGTAAGGAAGGAATAATAACCGACGTTTTTTGTGGTCTATTGTGGATGTGTGAAGGAGGGACGGAGAGGTATGGAATCTTTGAGACCCAGCACTACCAGTCGGTGGTGTGTGGGTAAGGGCCTCTCAGGCGGTAACTTGCAGGACTGTCGCAGTTGATGAAAGAACGATCAAGCATTGCTGCAGGCATTGTACAGCAACCTCCACTCATCATGAGGAGCAGTGCCACGTAATTCTTTCGTGGATGAAAGCAACAAACCAGTGATTTTATCACCTGAACCAAACAGCTAGCCTATATTTGGACGTCCTATCCCGTCATCACACCTTCTCCAAATGCTGTGGTTAAAAAATTTGACTGGATGCCCTTTGCACAGTGGAAAAATGGAATCAAATTAAATTTCATGGTGAACACAGGCAATCCCATTCCACGATAAGTCTTCGTCCTCTTCCATACCATGAATCGTGCAAGCCCTAAGATTCACTAACTGAATAGTTGGAAGTTAGCAATACTATCCTCCTAATTATAAATGTTTTTTTCAAAGGTAGCTAAGCAAGGGCCGCCTAAAACTTGGCACTAAGTGGCTGTATTAGACTAGCTTCCGGAACTGGTTAAAATGAATACGCTACTGCCTTTGTTCCTCTTGTGACAATTTCAGAGTTCTTCGGCTAGCAGCTACAAGGGCAAAGAAGCAGAAGAAGGGAAGATTTTTGCGGAGAAGTATTTTGATCATTCTTCATGCGATTCTGAGGACTCATGGCAGACGCAGGGAGACGTGGACAAGTCTTCGCATTCACCTCTTCACCGATCCTCGAAGACTTTGCAAACACTGGATTACGAGCTCTACAAATGCATCATGCGGATGCAGGAAGCATTGGACGTAGGAGACTTGTTTATTATTTACCCTTTTCCCTACACCTTGCCACCCACAAGCAATCTTGCCTAGTTTGTGGAATTCCTCATCCCTTTGCTTTTGTTTTCCTCTAGACGGCCCACCGCGCGGTTAAGAAGTTGCGACTGGCACAAAGCATCGTTAGTGACCTGGGAAGGGACTTGAATACTTCTGTGGATCAAGTCTTTGCATCCCTCATGAACGCCTCTGCGATTAAAGCCAAGCATGCTAAATTTGGCGGAAGATTTAGTGCAAGCAAGAAGCCACAGTATAAGGGTAACGTGAAAATTGCCTAATCTTCTCCTATCCACAAATGTACGGGGTGTTGCCCAAAAATCTGTCATCTTTTCATGCGCCTTCTTTTGATCCATCGCCACTGACATGTTGCACTTATAAGGAAGAATTGGTTTGTTTCTCGTTTAACGTTGGGGTTTTTTAGTCAGAAGGGGAATGATCAGAATACTGTGGACTATGCTTTTGAAAACACTTTTTTCGAGTTGTTTAGTGAGTGCAGGACAGGTTTAGACGACCTATAGGAACAGAAGCTGGTATAAGGGTTCCAGTTAACCCATTCAAAGTCTGAATTTAGCCTAAGTCTGTCAACACCATTGTTCAGGGTTTGAAACTTCAAGGTCGCAATGTGAGTTCCAAGCTAATGATGTGTGGGAAGAAGATAAAACCGTCTAGTAGAAAGAAAGTTTTAAAAAGTATCTGGCATCCATATAATTAAGTTGCATGGTAGCCATAAGTAGCATATCCTTATAAGGGGTTGAAAGATCTTTTTAGAAAACTACTTAAAGGGTAGCGCCACCTTTTAAGTAATATGAACAAGTCCTGACAATCCAGAGGGCATTCAAAGAACTAGAAAATATTCAAGTAATCGGGTCCCGGGGTCGATTAGACAGGAATCAACAAACACGCGTTCCCGCAGAGATGGCCACTAATGCTAGCATGACTTCGAAACATTTTTGAGCACTTTGTGGATAATTTGGAAGTAGAGGATTGGGCAGGCTTTTTCTACACAGTGAAGTCGAGAGTGACAATCAGGTCGTCTCTTCCTGAAAAATACATTTTCCGAGTTGAAACACAACCGGTTTTGTAACTGCAGCACAAAAATAGGCTTCCAAACACTCATGGGGACCAACGAAATTGCAACCCGTCAGTGAATATGATGACCAGGTCATTTTTACTGACTGCGATGTAGTGCATCACCCCGGGACTTCTCTCAAGACGAATTGGCATAATACTTGAGGAGAATATATATATTTGACATACAGCAGGTCTTTGGGCTACTGGCATGGTCCGGAGGCCAACTCACCCGGAGAAGAAACAATGGCAGAACACCTAAGCAGCAGCTATACCAAAACCGATAGTTAAATAGACAGCCAACGTATTACAATAGAACCGATCTCTGGCCATATGGCGTCGATCGGAGGTCTGTGTTGGGGGAAATTCATTTTCAGAGGTGGTACCGATGTTTACAACAAACTACTTATTTTATCGCCATAAGTACTAAATGCGGTGTAAAATTTGAACGAAATACAATAATGAACTCGTCGATTTATGAAAGTGAGATATGAAGTACTTACCATCTGCAAAAAGACTGATTTTCTTTATTTTCCGTTTCTAGCTTGTGATTCATTGTCGAAATTACCATGGTACTTGAGGTTCCTTACAGTTTTGCATGAAGGAAAACTAACTAAACTAGTTTTTTGAAAATTAGGAGTTGAGTTCACTTGAAGTGAACTAAGTTTGAGAGAAAAAGCCCAAAACTGTGTAAATAGTCTTTACGAATTGCGGTCACACAAGACGAAACCTTTACCCCGCTACCAACTGACGAGGACTCAACAGACGAGCACCATTCTGTCTGTGTAGTTGGTTTTAAATATGCAAATCTTTAAGTCGAGAGGGCTTTTTATTACTTGCAGGAAATAAATAAGCACTAAGCCGGATTTTATACTGCTTTAGATAAGGTCGTCTGGTGTCTATATTAGGTAGCCTATTGCTTCAACAAGAGAAGCAGAATTGATGTAAATAATAGCAAGAGTGGGGAAAGGTGAGATGAATTTTGTTAAAAAGTCAAATAATACTAGTGGATCTAGTAGAAAAAATGGCTATGTACGCTCATTTTTAAAAAGTCAGTCTCCTTTAAGGCATAAATTGCTGTGATGGTTGATCGCGCCTTGTACGGACTTTAAAATGCATATATATGTGTCCGTCCGTCGGTGTGTTGGGCTTCCCTGTGCCCTAAAATTTTTACATTAAGGAATTTTTGCAAAAGTAGAAGTGATTGGGAGGTTGTCTGCTTTTACAATTGAACTAACTCATTCACCAAACTGTCAAACTCGTGAAGTTTAGCAATCAAATAAGTAGATTTTCTATTCCGATCTACTGATTAAATCAAGAGAACTGCAGAAACAACAAGGTCAAACAAGTGAATGGTTTATTTGCACCAACTTTGGAAGTTTTGCTGCGCGAAACTCGACCTTTTGGTTGTATCGGGTCGTAAGGCTCTGCTGCTGAGCTTCCGTTAGACGACATGGCCCTTGGGCCATTCCAGTAGTTTCTTACTCCTCGTGTAGGCCAACATATATTATGTGCCAGACTTATGGCGATTTCCAACCTCAAAAATTACTGGAGACGCTACAAGTAGATTGAATCTCTAAACCAATTTGGAGAATACCTCACTCCACTGATTCATTTAAAAACACGAACGGTATTTAAAATTAATACAAGCTTTAAGCCTTATATGACACGTAAGCACGATATTTGGCTATTTTGGTTAGGTATTCCGGGCCTAATTCAACAATTGTCAGTAGTCGTAATTCGAAATATTTGCTTTTTTCCTACATGATTAAGCAGCTGCATTGTTCTAGAACTTGCCTGAAAGTTCAAAAAAGTAAATTATACATAAATGTTTAAAATTTTTTTCTAGGTTCTACTTTTGACATATAGGACCTCAAATTTGGTTTTAATGAGGAGGACACTCTAATGGTGTGACCTTTTCCATCAGGGCGATTCCTTTTTTCCAATTGTCGGTGATTACATGTAGGTCTTTTAAGAATTAACCTTAACCACCTCCAAAATAAGGTAGCATTCATAGACAAATTACACATCCAGTATATTTCTCATTTTTCTACTTGGAGGAAAAGTTTGGGGAGCGTGAAATCGCGAGTTTTTGCCTTTCAAATATGCGCCATTTGGTGGTAATAAATAAAAATGCCCATAAAGGAGCTAACTTTGTAGAGACGGTTGACTAAGGCAGTGACTATGTGGAGACAAAAGGAGATGTGACCCGTAAACTGCCGACCAACCAGTAACAACCCTGAATGAAAGAAGGTCTTGATGCACCTACCTCCGCAGCAAAAGCAATAAGATACGCCAAAATGAGCACTTGTACGACCCACGCTATCCCTTATTGGATGGTCGTCTTGGTTTAGAAGGCTCAGACGATTTTGAGGTACCTAACTGTGGAGATATGGTAAGAAAGGGAAGGAGTCGGTTGATTACCAGTATCTTATCATCATGTGATGAGTATTCTGCAATTTTACCGCTTTTTTTGCAAAACCCCCTTTTTAATGTTTTTACCTAAAGCCTTATCTTGGGCTTAGCTCATTACATTGTTCATTTTTGTCCCTCGCAATTTTATTGCTTTTTAAACAGAATCCTGTGTGGCTTCCACCTTCATAAAAAATTGAAAGGCAAAGGGTCGTTTGATGAGGCAACCAATGGCGGGGTGATTGAGTCGGTCTAGACTTTAAGAGGGATCTTTCTACCCGAGCCCTACGTCGAATCGCCTACACCTGAGAGATCATCGATACTGCCATGACCACCAGCTTTTATTTGAAACCAGCTATCTCTGCTGCCATTGTAGGTTATAAAATTTTGTCATTTTGGTCTCTTGTCCACAAAAGCAAGACAAACCTGCGCATTTAATAGAAGTATGCTCATGCTGGTCTTAAGACACTTTTTATAACTTTGGGATAATACCTGATAAACTGGTGGTTTTCGCTATATGATCTGTCATATTCAGCCTATCACAGCTAATTTGGTGGACTTTGGGTAGCATCAGTAGACGATCAGTCATAGTGGCCTTAGAGAGGCATAAAGATTTCGGTGTGGTTACAGTAGACGTTCTTGCGATTGCATTTGACGGTTTGTTTGCCAATTGCTCTTAATTGGCATTCCCCTTCTGAGCAGTTAATTATTGCTTGTACCACCAGCAATTAGCACCAGTGGAGCGCAAGGCGATGTCAACTTAACATAGGACTTACAAGATGCTAGGAGATTGCCGTAGCAGTAGTTGGCCCCATCTTTTCCCCAGTAGAGAAAGACCGCTTAAACACTTCACGGGCAAGCAATTGGGTCGCTGTCTAGTAGATGGATTATTAAAGAGGCTGCATTTATTTTGTAGCTACTAGTGTTAAGTCAATGGGAGTAGCAGAATTTTTACTTCGGCTCGTTAATGTAACGAACGGCTGTCTTATAGTAGAGACCCTAATGCGCCCAAGTGCTACTACTGGCGGTGGGGATTTAAAGAGATTCGGCGTTGACGTATTTTCGTCGGACAAAAGTGAAAAGGCAACTTCAACCCAAAAGCATGAAGTCGGGGTAGAGTGAGCACTAGTGGATCTTATGGATATAAGTGGCATTGATGTTTGACTGTTTGTAAACTTCGGGTTGTGACATTTTTGGGTGTTTTCGGGATCCCATTTTTAAAGCGTTGGTTTCACGCCTTTCCTGATAAACTGGGTGGTTGCTTAGTGCTAAGTTTGCAATCATTTTACGAATCCACCCGATTGAACACATTTTATGCTGATCCAAGGTTTCCCGTTCAAGGAGTGATTTTAAGGGCTGTGTTGTGTGTCATTCAACAAACACTCTTCCTATGAGTTATGGATGTGAAATCTGTCTTCTCACAAAGGACCCGTAGTTTGTGACAGGTTAAGTATGCTTGATCTAGCTTATTTGATGCAAACCATTATATGCCCTTGATGAATAAAGTCTACTTGATTATTCAATACCATAATGAGTTCTAGCACCACAAATGAGGTAAACTGAGGGCAAATAACGTTGTCTTGAAGTGTGCAAATGCTTCAAAGGCTATCACCAGGGGAAATAATCAGGGTTATATCAAGTGGGTAGAGTGGATCACTAGGCTATCCACATTCATTCACCAGTGCTACCAGTTGGACCATGCACTGCTAAGAGGGGCATAGAGTCGCATTGTTACAACGGGCAAACTTAGCTCTGAGGACAGCATCAAGACCCTGAGAATGCCAATGAATAAAATTGTCGTAAATTAATTAATACATCATTATGTTACTCCTGTAGTGTTTTGGCCGAGAAATGAGCTTTAGAATCTATAATTTGCTGGTCCTCTTTCATATCAGAACAGGGAGGTTTTCATTGTGGCTCTTAGTGCACGCATTTCTTTAAGACTAAAAGTTTGCCAACATCAGAATTGGATTAATGAGTTTATCAACTCAGCCATGGGGTAAATAATAATAAATAAATAAAAAACAGGTTTTGCACTTTATTTGCTTTCTATTAACAAACATTAGATGCAGGAAGGCGATTTTTACGGAGCAATTAAGGTTTTCTTAATAATAACAAGCATAGAGATGGAATCATGGCTTTGTTCAAGGACCTAGCAACGAATTTGATCAACCGCCGCGATGGATTTAAGCGTGGAATCTACAAACGAGACATGGTGGAGGTGACCTCACACATCATACCGTCGTAGAAAGTTGATGTGATAGCTCGCCTCTTGCATCTCTACTCCTTACTTCTGGCCACGATCTCCAAACTAATGTGCTGTTCACGAACCGATTTCGCTATCAACACCAAGTCATTTGAGAATGTTTGCATTTATTATGTCACCTTGAATCCTTAGACACTCAGGCTTCATGTGACGGACAGGACAGCGATTATCTTATTCTTTATTCTTCGCATAGTTGACGCTTCGTTATCGGGTCGGAGAGCTGACGCCGGTGTCGCGTGATTTACCGTGCCAGTGGCACTCCAATTCGTTCAAAGCTCTTGCCCCTTCCAAATTGGGGCTTTTCAGGCCGCAGATGCAAAATTAACTACTGAAGTATATGAACATGCAGAAGTTCAAAGTCAAATTCGTTCATGCGTGAAAATCTAGTCAGTGACGCAAAGGATTTGGTTGACTGGTTAGCGGTGGAGCTGAGTGCAGTTGAATGAAAAAATGATCAAGCCTGAAAATTTTTGATCTTGCAGCTGAATGAACTTAGAGCAGACAGTTTCTTTGGGGTAGTGACCTTCACTGCACGCAAAATAGGAGGTCTTCAAATAGATCACCAAATTAGAAGTTTGTATATTGGACCTAGATCATACGCTGACATAAGGTAGGTCAAGGCACAGTGAGGAGTTTCCACCGAAATAAGAGGTATTCCATCAGAAATCGTAGTGCAATAAGAGCCAGCTCTCACTGTTGTCTGTGGTCTGTTGTCTGTCTCACTGTGGTCTGAACAGACCACAACAATTGTTTCAATCCAAACGGTAATTATGGTTAAACTAGTTAATTAACCGAGGGGTTATATAAGACGTCCATTGGCATAATATGATGCTATACAGCACATCAACCACGATATGATTCAAGACTCACAAAAGATTTGAGGATAAAATACACGGAAATTCATAAAAATCCCATCTCTCTTCGTTTGTAAGCCAGTATTGGATGCAGTAGTCCGGATATTGTCAAATGCCAAAAGCTTGTTAGCAAAAAATCACCGCGTGACCTTGTTTCACTCCACGTGATGGCTGGTCGTCCAGAGGACGGCTCAGCGCTGTGTAAGGTCATGGGGGCCAGTACAATGGCATCGCAAACACAAAGCTGACATGGCCTATTTCATGGGATACCGGTAGGGAAACGGCTATCTGGATATAACCAAGACCTGGAGTGGTATTCTTTCAATATCAGAGTAGGTTACCCCGACACTATGAGAGGAAATAAATGTAGTCTAGTGCAAAAAGGTCACATTTCTGAAGTATCATTTCAAAAGACTCACCCAGACTCCATTACAGCCTGACAACGCCTTTTGTTGAGATCAAGCTAGTCATTCCTAGCAAGAACAAACCATTTTCAGGATTAAGTTGGACGTGCCTCGTTTGTATTGCCTTCCATTTCTTCATGATAGTCAGTTTTATGTTCAAACCCATGAGGGAGGAAAAATCCAATTGGTTGGACAGTTACGAAATTTCTCCATTGAGGGCTTTAATAGTAAGGTCTGCGGAGACGATACTTATTATCTGCAGTGAGGTGACAAAGTGATCACAAACGATTCCTCGCTGTGGAAGAGAGATGCCTGAGCGCTTGAATTCCAGGTCATCATAATTGTTGTGGTCGTGAAGGATTTAATAAGGCGCATAAATGCTCACCTCCCTGCTTCAGGTCTGAACGGTTTAGCGATAGTATGGAAGCAGAAGTTGGTTATTAACAAAAGGCCAATAGGTGAATGAAGTAGTGATGCATAGACCTTTACGGGTGATGGCTTAATGACTATTTGGCCTTTTCAATGGTGAGCTTGGTGCAAAGCCAATTGATGGCCGAAGCATGGGGTAAATGGAACTTTCACTACTTAGAGTAGAGGTAATCGCTAGAAGAGCAATTTGGGGTTAGTGACTTCACGCAGCTCGCTCATCTCAAATATCCATTAGACCTACTTCTTTTCGTCCTCCTATTGCCAACTATAACGCTCGGATCGCTTATTAAACTCGGCGTTTTGTTTACGCAAGCAATGCAGGCTCCGTCATTGCATTCTGGCCTGCTCACATGGCCTCGGACCCACGTCAGCAGCCTCTTAGCCTTGCTGTATGTCTGTTATACA